AAACTTCAAAGGGAGGCTGTGAGGGCACGAGTTAGCTACACCACTGACTATGACACATGCCTCTCTCCCTCTTTCGCTCTCTTTTTGAGTCCTTCACAACCCCGGATGACCCTCTCTCTGCAGTTGTAATTCGCTCGGTAAGCAGGGAGGGCCCTGACTCGGGAGAAATGGGAGGGAAGGGAGTCCCCGGGGAGAGAGAGAGAGAGAGAGAGAGAGAGAGAGGTGTGTGTGTGTGTGTGTGAAGCTGAATCAGACATACATCATTTAACTCCCCCCACACACACACACCTCTCCCATCTCTTTTCATATATAAAGAAACGCCGAGCTCTCCAAAGGGCCGATATTTAACATTTAGAGTTGAATCCGGAGACATTCATCAGCCAGTAAAAAGCAGTAAATTCAACCATGTGGGAGAGGAAGGGAGGGTGTCACTAATCAAACATGTGCTCGGATAGACGGCCGCCGAGATAAATGGCAAACTTTACATCCTGTAATTCACGCGCGATCGTTTTGAAGTGAAGCCTGAAGGCTGGAGAGGAGACAGGCTGGAACAGAGAGGCTGATTTCAGGCTTCAACAAAAGAAACTCCGAGTCGAGAGAGAGAGAGGGAGAGAGGGAGAAAGTGAAATCAAAGAACACAGCAAAACACACAGTCGTGCAAACTCTCCAGCAAATCTTAAAATCAACACTTTTAGCCCAACACCTTATAGCATTGATTACAAAACATCACATCTGTTCAGCTTCTGCAAAAAAAAATATTTCATAATAAAAAAAAAAGTCATTGATTCCTCATGCCACACATCCCGGCTGAACAATTCAAATAACAGTCCGCCAACTGGCACAAAAAGGCTGATTCATCTGCATGTTCTACGGCGGCACGGTGAGATGACTGATGCAGCTTTAAGTGGCTTATAGATCACTTGTAATGGACTGCGTTTAATTGCTGAATCCGCGCACACACACGGCTGCGGTGCGAATATCTCGACGGTGACGTGAGATATGAATCCATCACTCACTAGATGTCAGTGTTGACTGACGCCCGGCTATTAGAAGTGAAAAGAGCTCCTGATGGATAGGTTTAATAAAAGCTCGACTCTTGATGCTTTTAAAGTTTGAGGCGTGGAATGAAATGATCGTAGCCCTAAAAATATTGCAAACAAATAAAAAAAAGTTTATTTATCGAACCATTAAAAGGGGCCTTCCGGTGATTTTTAAGTCCCGTAAAGTTGCAGATTAAAGGAAAAATAGCTGGAGCCTACATTTCCCATGATGCAACAGCTTCCATTAGGGTCTCCTCGCTTCAGTTTTTTTTTCGTCAACGTCAGCTTTCTGTCAAAAAGCCTCGAGCTGGAAAGAGATTATGCTGATCATCAGGACTTTATCGGGATTATTTGAACTTAAAAGGGGTGTTCAGACAGAACGCAAAGCAAACGTTTGATCGTAATGATTTAGTCGGTGAAAAGACTTGTGGGGAGACGATGAGTTTTTGTCTGAGTGTGTTTCAATTTGAGGAAAAGCGAGTCATTATTGCAAGCTGGTGTACATATCTCTTAGGTGTACGTCAAAGATTTGCTTCATTCTGTGGAAGACAGTTTACAAGTGTTCCTGACGGGTCAAAAATCAGTGGAAGACCCCTTTAACGACGCTCACATACACGATTTAAACAGATCACTCTCTAATCCGAACTTCCAGCTCAGTCTCAGAAATAAATGTAGAACACTTACATTGGTCCACAGTGCAAAACGTATCGCATTGTCACAAAAATAAATGCTATAAACTAGTGAGATGCTTTTATTTTGTAGGAGCGATACTTATGGAAGGACTGCAGCAACTTAGAAAAACAATGAGTGGTTGCATATTAAATCAAACCACAGCGACTGAAAACAAATGACCATAAATGAAAGTAAACAGCGACCAAAAAAAAATGTTTACATGTGTATTTGAACCCAAACCGTAATCTTTTCATAAAGCTGACCAGGAAGTTGGTGCCTCAACTTGATGAAGAAGTTTTGTAGCGTAAACAGAAGCTAAAAGTGGCTAAAAATGGCAGTTAACAGTGATGGAAAGTGTTTACATAGATGTATTTTAACCCAAATCTTCATCTTTTTATAAGCATGACCAAGTAGTTTTCGTGCCTAAACCTAATGATGGAGCTTTGTAGCATAAACTAAATTAAAAAGTAACTAAAAACAATTTAAACAGTGACTGAGAATGAAAGTAAATGAGGACTTAACGCCACAAAATAACACAGGAATCAAATCATGGTCTCCTGAGTGAAAGCCTGCTGTTTTTTTGCCATCTCTACCAGTCCAGTGTCCTTACGTGAACTTTGCGAGTCACCTTACGTGAACACAGGCCAATAGAAAAAAAAAAAAAGTAGATCAAAACACCTTGAGCACATCTCAGGATTTTACCGGCTTTAATGTGAAGCTTCTGCGCTGTGGACCAACGTAGCCGTCTGAGACCGCGTTGGAGCTTCATTTAAACCAAAGCACTTCCTCATCGTTTCTATATTCCACATGAACTCCTTTTAGCCCTTAACTCTCCTCGACGGCTCTGTCTGATTGAACTCCGAAAACACAACAGTCATGACACACAGATTAAAAAAATATTGCAACGTAGATTTCCCAGCCCTTAAAACACAAAGTGTCACAAAAGTCTTTTTTTTATTTTTATTTTTTTTACTATTATTATTATTTTTTTGCTGAATTCCTCCTCTTCTCCCTTCTAACAGTATCTAGTCCTAGACAGACTTAATTCTATTCTAGCAGGCAGGAGCCTCATTTAATTAAACATTTGCGTAATTACTTTGCAAATAATAGTCAAACGCTGCGTTCTGGATTTAGCGATCCATAGGGGGCGGCTGGTCAAACACACCAACCTGAAGGTCTATTTAACAGTTTAATTAAGGTCTTGAGTGTGGATGGGAGGTTTAAACAGTAGCCTGCGTTCAAGAAATGAAAAAAAGAAATGATAAAAGTACCTCCTTTTGTTTGTTCTATACGTCTTCTTGCATCCTTTCCTTCGAGTCCTCACTTGACCGCTCTCTCCTCCCTTTCCTCTCTCAGGTAGCCGGATTACTTTGCTCAGCACCTCGATCGCGTTATCAGCTATTATTATTTACAACCACAGGTTCAGGGGGAGCAGAGGATTATGCATGGAAGTGTGTGCAAATGCCTGTGTTTGGGGAACGCGGTCCACATTACCATAATTCCCTCTTAAATCTCTTCTTTTTTTTTTTCTTCTTGTTCTGCTCATCATCACTAATTACGCTCCCGGAAAAAAAATCTCTCCCGTCCTTTTCTTTGCTTTCCTTTTGTTGGCCCCTGATCATCAATCTCGCCTCGCCTCTACCTCCAGAACACACAGGCTTCCCACAATACATAAACATTAGGCGGAAACAATTACCCCGCCTGGCATATTGTACCAAGGAAGTTTGATATGAAAAATGATTGGTTTTCGTGTTGAATGGAAACAACAAATGGAAATGCAAAACAACAACAACAACAACAAAAAAGGTCTCCTGAAAGAGAAGAGTGAAGTGGTAATATTGCTAGTGACTTTCTTTACCAACACTTGTATCTTTCTTTCTGTTTCAGGAATCCTCCTTCTTCTTCCACTACAGCCGTCGGCTTCATTAGTTATATATGACTTTGGTTTCCTGTTTTCCCTCCGAACGGGAACAGTCGCATCATGTAATAATATACGATACCCTCCATCATAACAGCGCAGGACTGAACAAGTGAAGAAGGCTTGAAATTCCTCTTTGCATCCAAAACAAAAAACCTCCAGGAGAGATTTGAGAAGACGTTTAGAGACAGGATAGCATATCATTTCTAAAATTTAAAAAAAACAAACTGCAGTGGCTTTTTAGTGAAGGTGTTAAACCTCACTGTTGCAAATAAAGCCTTAAAGGACCCCTTCAGTGATTTAGTGTTGCACTACTAAAAAGTTTGAGGGGCTTGTGAAAGTCAGATTACAAAAGGAACGGTCAAAATCGATGCAGCGGATGTCGAGATATCCTGACTTTCATTC